TAACTAACTAACTAACTACAGGTCAAACTCTTCTACAATTTCTACACACCGAAATTTAGGAACTGTTAGAAGCATTTGATTGAGGCACTATGCTACAAGCCAGAAGGTCGCGGGTTCGAAGGGGCTCATTGGATTTCTTCAACTGACCTAATCCTTCCAGCCGCACTATGGCCCTGGGGTCGACTCAGCCTCTAACAGAAATGAGTACCAGAAATCTTCCTGGGGGTAAAGGGCGGCCGGCGCGTAAGGCTGACAACCTCACTGCCATCTGTGAGCCAACTGTCTAGGAAATGTGGGAGCCTCGACGTCTCGCAACCCTATGGGCCTCCACGGCCTGTTACAGGGATAGCGTCAGACACTGTACCGTTGGGTTGACTGCCTATACTCGTACATCTTCATCACGACGGGACGGCTCCCTGTTTTAGCCGAGAAGTGAAAACGTATCTCGATCATAGCTTCGCCGGCCAAGAGACAGACAGAGCCGTGGTCCTCGACAATGGCCACCTGGATCTCCAGACCTCAACTCCCCAGATCAGTGGTTCTCAACCTTCATCAGACCGCGGCCCGGTAAATTCTTTTTTTCTACAAGACGAGGGCCCGGTACTGCGGTTGAGAAACACTGACCTAGATTTCTAACTGTGGAACCACAAGAAAGATTTACAGTGCCAACAACATTAGGAAAAACGAGATGCATTGCTTCGCCGCATTCTAAATGCTGCAATTGGTATAAAGGATATTTCTAATTAAGTGATCCTAGCTACATAGTCGAGCAGAGACTTATACTCAGGCTCAGGGCTGTCATCCTCACCGGTTACTGTAAATTCAGCAGTGAAAAATCTATGCAAACATATTTTCACTCAATATTTTTTAAAGTTCCGTTAACCGCTGAGAATCTAACCTACATTTATACGATATTTCTGCCTGCGAACGGTCTCGGGTAGAAACTGTGGAGGTGAGACATTATAATATTTTATTATTATTCTTAGTGGGGTGGAAACTGAGTCCACTTGGTACTGCGGCCACTTCTGGCCCATTGTACCAGCCCCAAATAATAGGTGAGGGTGATTGTGGAGCAATTGGTGGAATGAAGATTGGCAGGGGAAACCGAAGTACTCGGAGAAAACCTGCCACAGTGCCACTTTGTCCACCACAAATCCCACATGACTAGACCCCGGGCTCGAACCCGGGGCGTCGAGGTGGGGAGCCAGCGATTAATCACCTGAGCTATGACGCGGACATAGGTGATACAGTAAGTAGTGAATCGACATGTATAGATAGATAACAATGTACATAGCTGAAATATACAAGTCACACACGCGAATTATTCAATTCATGATTCAGTGCTTCAACTTGGACTTCGCTCTCTTCTGTTTTTAGAAACGATATTATCTGTTCATATCTTGACGTCCGGCTCAGTGACAAATGACAAATTCGACACCTAAGCCTTGAAACTGAAGTGCCTCTTCACAAACGTGATCAACACGCAAATATAACAAAACGTTGAGGTAAATGTAAATATACTTCATTACATCTGCATAACGTAGATAATATAGAATATACCACGTGATATGACCACGAGATAAGCACAATGTGTCAGATAATCCTCAGCAACCTCAGGTGACCTCAGATATCGAGGGAACACTGCCTCGAAGTCAGAAAATGGATCCACGGGGAATGATAGATGTTGCCGTGGGGTATGAAAGCGAAGAGATTTCAGTAATTATGTTACCTGACGTCACACTGTCTGCTACTTACGGCGTGGCCAGTCAGTACCCAGAATTGTCGTTAACACGGTGGGAATGCTGGCTGGATACCAAGCTTAGGAACAAGGCAAGCAAGACAACCGGGCTGTAACACTGCACACACCGGGGGTGCGAGTCTATTGCGCTCTCACTGTCCACGGTGACAACAGTAAGACCTTTTTCTCTCGTGAACATTCCATCTCAGGGCTGTGAATCTTCGGAAGACCATACAGATGTGAAGGTCTGCTGTAATATAGAGTCAACTTGTGTTTTAGATCGACAGCGAGAATAGTTTTGAGTTTTTTGAAAGACGTTTCTGTACTTTCCTCTCAACCTTAGCTGTAGGATCTTTGGGCAATGATTCATAAACCCTGGACTCTAGCAAAGTGTCCAACTTGTACTTGCATTCATCAAACACCACTGTGCAGCTGCCCTTGTCCGCCTGAAGAATCCTAATATCTTTTGTACAGAACTATAAGGCTTATTTTGGACTTTATCGTCTGGTATATATAAGACAGTGGTATCCAGAGATTGAGACTAGTTCTTTCTAACGGGCCCAACTGAGTAGGTCTATCTTGCCCCATCTAACTGAGGACGAAGACAGATTCAGTCTCCGAAAAGTTGTGGGTTTTTTGTCTTATATATACCAGACGATGGATAAAGTCCAAAATAAGCCTTATAGTTCTGTACAGCATACACCATTGTCAGAATCCTTTCTAGTCTATCCTAACATCTTTGTTGAACCTAGAAGATTTCACGGCTTTCAACTCCTTCGTATTCATGTTAGGCCTCGAAGACTTACAAAAGTGTGTCCTTCGCACCGTGAATTTTATCCTCTGTTGGGGCATGAACATGAAGAGCAATGATACCACGACAGCGACAACTGCTGACAGCATTCTCTTATGTCCAAAAAAAAAATCAATGATTCACACTCCCCCTCCCATCCGCCTGCTGGATAGGTGCCACTCTCCGCCCATCTGACTGGTCCTCCCAATAAATCTAACTTATATTTGGTATTTTTAGTAACTGTCATGACCAAATCTGCCCTATATAGGTCCATCACATATTTACCTATTATTTCATGCAAATCGGAGCCGGGATGGCTCAGTCGGTATAGCAACTAGCTACGGGCTGGACGACCGAGGAGTCGGAGTTCGAGTCCCGGGGGGGGGCAAGAATTTTCTGTTCTCCACGTCGTCCAGACCGGCTCTGGGGCCCATCCAACCTCCTATCCAATGGCTACCGAGGGCTCTTCCCCCGGGGGTAAAGCGGCAGGAGCGTGAAGCTGACCATTCACCTCCAACTAGCGCCGAGGTCAAGAAAATGTGGATCTATACATCCACTCCCCCTTAATCCTTCATGACGTACTGCTTAATTAGTTAAGCAGAGGGGCAGCTTTACCTTTATCTATAATTTCATACAAATATTTATGAATTTATTAAGATGCACTCCTAACCATAACTTCAATAACATACAATCACAGCTAAGTTAAAGTACTGAATTTCCAACACGAAAGATTGGTTAGTAGCATGTTATCGGTAATGACACCTGAAGGAAGTTCAGCGTTTCCCATCGTTTCGGCAAACAATAAGATTGTCATCTTCAGTATATATTTACCACATACGATGTCTGCCGAAAAGCAAAACAACCTATATCAACACGCGGTTTACTACTTAAAGCAAAAGTTACGAAAAAAAAATCTCAGCAAGGCAACATATGAGCAAGAGTGGCGCAAGTGATTTGGAGTACTCAACACGTCGGATCTATCCCTTAGTAGTACAGTACCCCTTCCCTATACACCGGCCGATTCACTTCTTCACTCCCTGAGTTCAAGAGTTTCAGCCTGACGTTCCCTCATTGAGAAGCGGAAGACTGGTATTCAAGAAAGATTTGAAAATAAATATGGCAATTCCTCATCTGTATTCAGAAGTGAATCCCGTGGTGCCACAAAACGAATTTTCGAAATCAAGGCAGTGTAAATGTGCGGCGCGATTCGCTTCACAGTGCGAGGTTTCGCCTCTTTATTTTCCACGGTCACTTTAAGGTCACATGTTTCTGAGATGTCTGCAGACCGAACTGTCCCACTCCTCACAAGCTGCAACCCTGGAAACACGACTGCATGTAAACTGTCCACACGAAGCAGTGCCTTACATATTAGACCTTTAGGAGAATCATATCTTGACCACTGTTTCCCTGGTCAATGGCTCGACCGTGGTGATCAATAAAAATGGCCACCCAGATCACCAGACCTCAAAGACCTCGATCCCTACCCTCGGCAGCACATGCAACCTATATCACAACATAACAAATTGGAAACACGAAATTCATTGCCCCATTGCATTCTGGATGCATCAGCCGGCAAAAAGGACACAATCCTACTGAACTCACGCACCAGAAAGTCGTCTCACAGGCGAGTCTAGATGTGTTCAGGCTGACAATGATCACTTTCAAGAGCTATTATAAACAGAGCAACCAAAATCTTGTGTAATTAGTTGTTTCTCACTTTTATTCCTTAAAAATCCGAAAATGATAAATACATAACTGTTTAGTTTTTTTTTTTATTTGCTTAGTGAGGGGTGGAGTCCAACTGGGTCCACTCAGCCCTGAGGCCACTGATTCAAGAATTTGGTGGAATGGAGACTGGCAGGGGAAACCGAAGTACTCGGAGAAAACCCGCCCCAGCGCCACTTTGTCCACCACAAATCCCACTTGACTAGACCCAGGATCGAACCCGGGACGCCGCGGTGAGAAGCCAGCGTCTAACCGCTTGAGCTATGGCGCGGCCTAACTGTATAGGTTAGTTTAAGTCACGTTTCTAACTGTAAATGAACTCAGGCATAAACTCCTAAAATCAAGTCACGTAGACAACAAAGGCCCTGTGTAGGCTCAAGCGAACACAAGATCAAGTTCAGATATAACAGTTCATTAAGCAGTATATGATGCACGTCATGAAGGTAGACTTGAACTTGTCTGCTATTCTATTTCGAGTATTTTCACTTTCATCCTCCTAATATTTTCTGTTCATATCTCGACGATATAAAATTCGACTCCTACACAAAGAAACTGAAGTGGCACTTCACAAGCTTAACCAACACAATGCAGTAACAACAGATTATAAGATAAGTTAAAAGCAGTAGATCTACGTACCGACGATTAGAGCAACGAAAATGATTTGCTACTTAGAGCATGTCACGTGACACGAGGACTATATAAACACAAAGTGTCTGCTAATGTTCCAGAACGCGCCTCTTCCTGGGACTACCACTCAGAAACATGGCGGTCAAGACACTTCTTTCCGTCTCGCTTGTCTTCTGGCTGCTGTTATTCTGTTCCGACTGTGGTCTGCAAGGCGTGAAAGCCTCCCCGTCGAGCGAAGCGTTTGAAGCCCGACTGCATGCCCTGAAAAGTCTTCATCCAAAGATCTCAGTCATCAATGAAACACGTGAGAACCATAAAGAAGATCCACGGGGACTAGAAATCGCTGAACTGCTGTATCAAGGAGTAACGTTTACATATGGTATCCCAACTAACAACACCCTAATTGTTATTTACCTTGATGGTTGGGTAATAGAAGCAATACAAGGCGAGATAACCTGGCTCGAAGGGGATGGTAAATACTTGTTGGAAGGTGGACCAGGTACTAACTACTGGATTCTAACATTCGTGACCTTCGAATGGGTGTACGGTTACACCTATGATTTCGTCGTCGTAGTTTCCCGTCTGGTGAGTAAGACATTTCTTTTATTTCATGAATATCCTAAATACAGAGCTATCTAACTTCAGGTCAGTGAGCAGTGCACAGCAACAGAAGTATGTCTGTCTCCCTACTCGGAATTATTAAAACCTGTTTCTTCCCAGCCGGTCACGGTAGCCGAGCGGTCTAAGACATGTACTGTCTTCGATCGCTCGGAAGTCGCGATTGTGGGTTCGAATCTCACATAAAGCATGGATGTTTGGTATGTGTGTTTATACTGTGTTTAGGTACAGGCCTTCCGACTAGCTGATCACCCGTCCAAGGAGTCCTACCGTCTGTAAAATGTTCAAGAAACTAAGAAATTAGCCCTATGCTCCAAAAGTGGGAGCAGAAGGAAGAAAAAAGAATTCAAATTAACCGAAAGAAATAATTCCCTTGCAATGAGCCTACATTAATGGAGTTTTAAGAGCACTGCGATATTCCAAGTTGTTTACTAGGTGTGTGGTGAAATTAACTAAAAGTGTGCCTAAAATGTTCAGTGAGCAAGCTTTTATAAGTTCCTTGCATAGGATTCGATGCCGTCTCCTAAAGGAAGGAAACGCCAGTCCACTTCGCTCCCGTCCAGTGAAATCTCAAGAAATTTCTAAAAATAATTTACGATAACATACTTTTACTCTCAGTTCCAACAGGCAGGGTCAGAGCTCTTAATCCGCAACATATGAAGAAGTCTTAATATCGTAAAAGAGAAACAGGGTGGACGTTCGCATCATGCCATGTTGCACTACTCCATCTAGCTTTATACAAACCGAGGTTACATATTAAAGACATCTTCTTACCAATTACAGACACGCGATAATATGGCGGCCGGCGAGGCGGAACGGATCCCAGTGGAGCAGACCTTCAGGTTCGATGACAGAGAGCTCAGAGTTAAGGCACCACCAGAAGTCAGACAGGAGATTAGTTACAATAAAATGTAACATCATGAAACGCACTGCGAAATGAATTCGAGTATTTGTGGTCTGTGCTTACACGCAGAATTATTTCTGTATTTCAACTTCTTTCAATTAACAACGATTCCACAATTGTAAACTAATAATATTCAATTAAATGATATAAATATAAATATATATATATATTCTCAAAATTCATTGTTATAACCCAACCTTATCACCCCTACCTCCTTTTACGTTCTCACGGCGATGAACATGCAGTTTATTTGAATTTAGATCCTTTTGTACATAAGCGGAAACACTGCGAAGGGATATTCTGGAATCTATGATAAAACTCGTCTTTCTAATGCAGATGTTACGTGTTTCCTATGAAGTATGAACTGCATATTTATATATCATGAACAAGAAATTCCTGCTTCAAATGCTAACGTGTGAATTCGCGTTGCATACAAGGAACAAGAAGTAAGCCTACGCTTGTAATGCCTAAACTGAGCCATGAAATTACAAGTTCTGGCAAGAACTTAGCACCTAGTTTCCTTTGATATGAGACGTGTGGCAAAGAAAACAACAACAAAAATATGTGGGATACACAGATACAAAGACAGCAAGGTGCTCTCATAAGGTTCCTACAAAAATTTGGGGGAATGCACAAAGAGAGATAGACACACACACAAAAGAATACGAACACGGATACACAAACAGACAGCAAGTTGATATTATGTATAAGCCTTCTTTTTTTTTAAATAAGGAAAGTGGGCTAAACCTGTGATACATATATTTATGTATTATTATATTATTTATGGCTATATTTTGTTCAATAATTTGGATTATCCCCCTAAACGTATCTCCACCTTGTCGTGGTGGTGGGGCTTGCGTGACTCTGTGACCTCGAGAGCTATGCCGGCGGTAGTTTAACTACCAGTAGGGTCACCATGCTGGAAAGGTCAAAGGGTAGAGTCCAGACTAAGAGAGAACCCCTGGTCCTCCAGGTTGGGGGTTGGGCATGAGGCTAAGAACCTCATCATGTAAAAAGAATTTTGTTCAGAAACCTAACAACCAGCCTCGGGTCATCATGCGTGGGTCCATTCCTATGGCAGCAGTCATTGGTTGTGGAGACTGATTGTAGAGGAGCCCAAGGCTCAAGGGCTGTAGCGCCGAGGGGTAGGCAGGGAGGCAGGTAGGTAATTTGGATTATGACTTAATCCAGACGACCTCTCCTCCTCCGAATTACCCCTGATCAGCGAGGGGTTACTGTAATACTAGCATGGTGGCAGTGAACTTCTGACGTGGGAGAGATATATACAATATCCATTGCAGAATTCTAAAACACGGCGTCATAACAAGTACTGAAACATATGCAGTTTCAGTTAAGGGGATTTCTATATAATGTAAAGTAACACAAGGCATCAACCCTGGTCGCGAAGAATCCATACGTCCGTAGCAACAACTAATGAACCAATTACACAAATTTGAAATGTTCTGAAAGTAGGCGTATCGCAAACATTCGATTTTTGTTTACATCTCGAACTAGTTGTCTCAAACAGTAGCGCTTCTCAATCCAGATTCAAAGTGTCTTCTTCCCATTTCATCCAGGACACTCACTATATGACCAACGATTTTGTGCATCCCGACGAAGGCGAGGAATATCCAGAACTACCCCAAGTCTGCTTCCTCCCGTATCCCTCACAATTCATAATTAACCATACTACCACCAGACATTAATGTGGGAGCCTCGACGTCTCACAACCCTATGGGCCTTCGCGGCCTGTTACAGGTATACCTTTACTTACTTGCTTTGCTTTTACCACCATACCTTATGTACATCGTCTGAGCTACAGAATGTGTCGTTAAACAAACTGCAAATTGTTGAAACATACAATTTATATGTTAAAAATTGCAAATATTATGACGATACGAAATTTTATGGAAATTCTGACAAAATTCAGGTGATGGGAATATTTGATAATGGAAATTAAGGGTAGAAGAGTTCGATAATCACTATATTGTCACGTGATCTAGTGACTATAAACGGGGGTTGGACTGGTAATGGGATTTATGGGACACTTTAACACACAACTCGTGACTACGCTTTACAAATCAATATCACACAAAGACTAGCTTTTCAGTCAACGATCTTCACTGCGCTACTTGGTAACATCTTCCAACAGCGGACGATCCTCTGTTCCCAGCCTCACGACCTCGCAGGCTGGCGTCCGTCTCACACCAACCTCCTACTCTTCTAAGTGCCGTCTCAGGACTTTCTCTCTGGCAATTTGTCCTCATTATATAGCCTCGGCATGGACCTCACAGAAAACACCTCTTCCAACAGCTCTTCTATTGTTGCACGCGCGTCTGTTGCGACCATCACGTAAGGGCTACTGAGCCACTGCATAGCAACGGTTGTCTCCGTTGGCTTCACAATTCTGGCTTTCGACTGACATGCCATACTATTACTATTTATCTTAGTTTCTGTGGCAGAATTTTAAGCATATTAGATCTCACGAAGTGTTCTCTAAACTTGGTTTACCATTCCCGCCTCTGTGGTTCATGTGGTGACTCTGTGTGAGGTTTCATCATCAGAATCCGTTATTAAAATCTGTTCCGCAAAGGAAAGATATTAAATTATATAAATATAAATTATTCTGATTAAATAATTACTAACACTAATGAAAGGACGCGCCATAGCTCAAGAGGTTAGTCGCGAGCTTCCCACCGGGTATGGTCAAGTGGGATTTGTGGTGGACAAAGTGGCGCTGGGGCAGGTTTTCTCCGAGTACTTCGGTTTCCCCTGCCAATCTTCATTCCACCAATTCTCCACAATCACCCTCATCTATCATCTGGGGCTGGTACAATAGGCCACAAGTGGCCGCAGTACAAGGGACTTAGTCCCACCCCACTAGCAATAACAAAACACTAATGAAATAGAAAATTGTATTTCCAAATATGGCGTGAAGGTGTGGGCAGGATTCATCTGGCTTAGAATAAGTTTCAACTAATTTTAACAAAATTTAACAATAACTAGAACAATAATATTGTATCCTAGCACCCTCTTGCACGCCACTTACTTATTCCTTGTTAGTTATTAGCCGTATCACTTGCAACTTGATTTTTAAAACATTTAAAAGTTTTAAACTTTCAAATCTCTTCTACATTGTTTGTGTACTCGTATGCGCACTATACGTTTCAACCAGCACTGATCATATTCAGGTATCTCTAAAATTTAAAAGTTTAGAACTTTTAAATGTTTTAAAAAGCAAATTTCATGTAACACGGCTAGTAACTAACAAGGAATAAACTAGAACAAGGTTTAACCAAATTTTATAATAAACTAGAAATAATAAGCACCATAAATTATTTACAAGTCTTTACCTGATGATGACCTTATAATGTCGACACTGTCACAAAAGCGACATTTACAAAGAAATGAAAACGTTGTACACCAAGTAATATTAATAAAACAGATTATATATCCAGTGCTAAATAGTAAAATTGGGCGTCAATGTGTGTATTGGATTCAACTGACCTATAATGAGTTTCAACTAATTTCAACAAAATTAAACAATATCTAGAACAAGTTTCAACCAAATTAAAACGTCTATGTATAACACAGTTCGTCAATAATGCAACAAATTGTTCCTTTTTCTTCTATTTATACTTTTAACACAAAATGTTTCGGCCTTAGGTGGCCATCTTCAGGTGTTAACTGCATTAATATCCGCAGTGTAGCAGTTTTAATATTTTAAGACACCTGAAGATGGCCATCTAGGGTTGAAACATGTTGTATTAAAAGTGTAAATGGAAGAAAAAGGAATAATTTGTTGCATTATTGACGGACTGTGCTATATATAGACGTTTTAATATCGCTTGTANATCGAGCCCACCCCCTTGCCTGAAATTTTTCTTGTGCGCATTCAAGGTTACTCTTGGCCTTGTTCGAAGTTACGTGACACTTGCTTTAACAGGATGCTTAAATACAGTTTAAATAAAGTTTTAAACAAATTTTCAAAAATAAAACACAGAAACCCGTAGAGGACAGCAATTATCTACCTGGCGACGAGCTTAGAAGGTCCAACACGGCGCACCAACGACAAGAATTTACACCTCGAAGACAGCCCCTACGAATTAAATCGTTTCAGGTTCAAGCCTATGTTAATCTCTGAATGCTTTCTCCTGGAAACGACTGGCTCACGTTTGGTTCAAGTCGGAGATGCTGCTATGCTCTGGAGTACATCCTGCGCCATCCAGAAGAGCAGAAAGATAGAATTACTTGCTCTGAGAGACACGCTTACTGTTGCAACGAAATCAGTACCACCCATTCCTAAGAAGCACATTATCTCACTGCATTACGCAGATAATTCATGATTCACTCTGATCGATCGAGTGACGTAAGTAACATTTCATTATAACACTTCTATACGTTCCTTTCGTCACTGTATTATCAACATTTAGATGAAATACACCAGATTTCTGTGTGAGTGTTTACGCTTCCCCAACACGTCAGTCTCAAGCTATTCACGTCATGCTGAACAGAAATACCCACTTCACTCATAAACCAAAAAAAAAAAATCTACGCAGTCTCAAAAAAGGTGACGTTTAAGACTTTCAAAGTTACCTGCATAAGTAGCCCGGCTTCGGCGAAATCACTATGTTAAGTTTAGTGGCCAACTGACTCATAGGTCTTTTAAATATTCTTTGTCAACTAAGTCGGGGGGATAAAACTTCTCCTTGAGAATGTCAGAGTGAATCAGCCAGTCTAGATTTCGGCTTAGTTTATTGTATCATTTCAAAAAAATCAACACATCAGCTCATTCAGCCCACTAGCATATTGTCACGCGTATGCAGTGACAATAGACGGGTTTTCGGATAGGTAATTGGATTTATTGAGTACTGTAACACAATTCGTAATTACACTTTGCAAATCACTCTCATACGCAGACAAGTGTCCTCAGTCTGTTACAGTCTCCACCAGCCGTTGCTTGGTAGTGGCTTTCAACGGCGGATATACCCCTTCCTCTGGGTTCCCGAAATATCACTTGCCTCAGCTACCAGCTTCTAACAGCAAGAGCTCACAACGACTGAGTCCCAGCAGTTCTCTAACTCACTCACTCATCAACCAACCGCGTTGGTGTCTGTTGGCAGAGTCACTATCTAGCAACGTGTCTACACACCACAATCTCAACAGATTTTGTATACTCAAAATACCTCCACAAAATATATTTAAATACTTCAAAATTAGCACCTGAATGTGATCACTAAACTTACGTATTTGTTTATTATTGCTGTTTCCCGAGAAGTGAATCATTCGTCTTTAGCAATCATCAGAGTCACTACTGCCACTGAAATAGAAGGGCGTCCAATGGGGCAATACTGTCTGTAGCAAGTTTCTTATTGTAGGATATATCTGTCACTGTTTGTTTTTCTGATAATATTCAGGTGCATTTCTAATGCACTCAGCATGCACTGCTTCGCGATGTCTCTTCAGTTTTCTCGGAAAATTTTGCACACAAGGCAAAGATCACCAATTACATACAGGCAAGGTAAAGTTTTCTTCCTACTTTATTAAGTAAGCAGCAAGAAATTAAGACGTATGGAGGGGCAGAGGTACAGCTCCACGTATTATTAGCCTCGGCACTAATGGAGGTGATTAGTCAGTTTCACACACTGGGCGCTTAGACTTCAAGGAAAGAGCCCCTGGTATCCATGCGATAGGAGACTGGGTGGGCCCTAGAACCGGTCCGGACGCTGTGAATAAAAGAAAGATGTCTTGCCCCTCCCGGGGATTTAACGCGGATTCCTCGGCCGTACAGCCCGTGACCAGTCTATACCGATCGCGCTGTCATGCAGCATCATAATACTCATACATACACGTTTCTCGCTGAAATGGAGTTACTGATAACTACTTTTTCAGTGAAAAATATTAACATCTTCAACAATTAACAGCAATAATGCATCATCGTGATGTTTAAAGGTAAAGGTAAAGCTATCCCTGTAACAGGCCGTCGAGGCTCCCACATTATCCAGACAATCTGCTCACAGATGGCGGTGAGGTTGTCAGCCTTAAGCACAGACCGGCCTGTACCTCCCGGGAAGATTCCTGGTACTCATTTCTGTTAGAGGTTGAGTCGACCCTATGGCCATAGTGTGGCTGGAAGAACTAGGTAAATTGAAAAATCAAATGACTTCATCAGGAACCAAACCCGCGACCTTCAGACTTGTAGCATAGTGCCTCAACCAACTAACGCGTGCCCCGATGTTTAAAGATACGTAGAGAAATGTAGCTGTAGGTACAACGAAATTTTATATAACTTCAAATATTTATACATAACCTGACGTGTGACGACAAATTCGTAAGAATAAAATACGATTTGAAAATAGTATTGAAACTTTCTGATTCTAGGATCGAGATGTGTTGTTTATCGGCAAGGGCAATTATGATCCAAACTGATTTTCTGTTTGACGAGTTCAGTGTAAGAAACGTGTCCTCCAACCTCTTACATTTAAAGCTAAATACTGTAGCAGTTCAGCAATAGCAACTATACATGTACATTATTACGGAAATATGTGAACAGTTGAAAATTTCTTCAAATGAAAATCAGCATGGAAAGGGTTAACTAGTCACATATCATTCAGGACGTCATTTAATATTTGGCCTTTATCTCTGATGTTGAGCCGGGATAACTCAGTCGGTATAGCGACTGGCTATGGGTTGGACGACAGAGAGGTCGGAGTTCGAGTCCTGGTGCGGTCAAGAATTTTCTCTTCTCCACGTCGTCCAGATCGACTGTGGGGTCGAACCAATCTCCTAACCAATGGGTACCGGGGGTCAATCCGACTACTCACCTCCAAGTAGTGACGATGTCAACACAATGTTAATCTATACATACACCTTCACGGCCTAGTAATCTTTTTTAACTTTATCTCTGATCTCATCTGAAGCATCTTCAGCCTTTCGATGATGCAGTTCATTCCTGATTACGTACTGACGTGATGGTTTTATGACGAACGAGATTCCTACTCTTACTTCATGGAAAAAGAAGAACGAAATTACAGAAAGTGGACATGGCATGGCGAAGACGTAAGAAGTTCTAAGTAAACTGTAAGATAAAATCAATTCAGCCTACACAAGATTAAAAGAATAACGTCAATTGATCGTTACTCTGAAGAAGGCTTGAGATATGAGGGCTATATATAAACACAAACTGTCCACTAGTGAATCAGTACCTCTCTCTTTACGGAACTACCACTCAGAACCATGGTGGCCAAGACATTTCTTTGCGTCTCTCTACTCTTTTCGCTGCTGGCCTTCGATCCGCTCTGTGGTCTGCAAGGTGTGAAGGCCTCTCCGACGAGAAACGTATTCGAAAAACAACTGAACAGCCTCAAAGGCGAATATTCAGAGAAGACCTCGGTTGTCCAAACTGGATCTGGGAAATCGGTTCCTGCTGAGGCAGAATTCGGTGAACTGGTGATTTCTGGGGAAATATACGAAGATACTAGGGCACATAACTACACGCTGTCTGTTACTCACCTTGGTGGCTGGCTGGTATACAGCCTGTCCAGTGTTACACGCTGGTTTGGTGGTAGGGGTGAAGTCTCAATTGTCGACGGAGGCTCCGGGTACGACCACTGGGCCATAAAATGGGAGTTACCACCTCTGGTGTCTGCTAATTACGAAATCAAAGTCGTGACCTACCGTGAGGTAAGTGAGAATGTTCATTTGTCTTATGAGCACTGTATGCACTCAGGATTGTCCCACTTAAATGCCATTAGGTGGCTGCACTGAAGCACACGTATGTATAGGAACATACGAAGAGTTCTATTTTATGGGAAACAAAAGCGGAAACCCGTTGAAAGTCAACCGACGTTTTCGGAGGAACGTCACCTACATCTTCAGGGTTGAAGATTAAGACAAGCAAGAAACCCGCATGAAACAATTAGCAAGTGCAGCTTCGTGATGGATTCTTACTTGGAAGAAACTTCCGTGGCCCGCGCGCCGCAAGGTGCATACCCTAATTCAAACTATGGCTTACGCTACTGGGTATTTCTTAAAAGTTTACTTACGTACTCAGCGACGTCAGTACGTACTTTGTTTCTACGGAGCCATGAACCCTAAATTTACTTTAAAAAATGTAAAGCTATCCCTGTTACAGGCCGTGAAGGTCCATAGGGTAGTGAGCCGTCGAGGCTCCATTTTCTAGACAATCGGCTCACAGATGGCGGTGAAGCTGTCAGCCTTACNCATAGTGCCGCTCGAAGGATAAATAAATTGAAAAAAAAATCCAGTTACCTCATTGGAAATCGAACCCGCGATCTTTCGACGTGTGGCATAGTGCCTCAAGCAAATGCGCTACTCTGTTCGCAGCCCGAAATTTACTTGCGATATATATTTGTATCACATGGTGAATATGATATGCTTTCTATTGTACCACGCCGTGAAGAAGTATGGCGGAGTGGAGGTATACCTCTCCCTACCCGAAGTGGATCCCCGTTATCAAGGACGTCCAGAAACGTTCATGTGTGCGATCGCGTGTGTGGGATGGGGGCTTCAGTAGCAAGTTCCTATACCTGTGACTTGGCTATTGGGAAAGAGAATTCCTTTGTACACCATTCAAAGAAGTCTTAAGAAATTTCTAAAAATAATTCAGTTTCATGTGCTTATTCTGAATTAGAACAGATTTGAAGGCCTAGTCTCTGAAAGAAGAAGCCACTTCAATCAGTAAAGAACGAGATAATTCCTGCCACATGGTGTGCCACTGACCTCTCCCCTTTGACACAAACTAGGGTTACATATTAACGTGTCCTCTTCTTGCTTACAGACTCCCGGAAACAAAACGGTCGCTGTCGAAGCAGAACGGAAGCCAGTGGAGCAGATCTTCAGATTCGACGACACGGAGCTCAGAGTTAGAACGTCACCAGAAGCCAGAAACCAGATCACTTACAGCAAGCAGTGAAATTACAAGCACCGTCAGCAAAAACACTTGCGAAATGATTTCGACCAGTTGGAGGCTGTTCTTAATTACACGTTGATTATATATTTAAAAGTCCTTTACATTGAGAGTTATTCATAACATGTAAATCAATCATATAAATATTAATAAACGTATTCTCAAAGCAATTATTCTGTTATTGTGACCAAACCTTCAAATTCTTTCTTATGAGACCTGACGTTCTCGCGGCAATGTCCATAACGCCGAGTAGTGTGGTACTAACTTTTCGAGGGAACTTTCTCCCACCTCTCCCAAAAACTGTGAGAGCTGACTGCCTTACAGACTCAGCGGTAACGCTCTAGACTTGTATTCAAACGGTGCTTGGTTCGAATCTCGGCAAAGCAAAAGCTATTGGCGTTTTTCGTTGTTTTTCTCAGACCCTCCAGGAAATTTCCAGGATAGTACCTCGATTAGTCCGCCAGTGTTTGCAGCACTGATTTGTAAAGTGTGGAAATCAGCGACAGTGTTACAGTTATTTGTAGTTACGACCTGTAAGTTGACAGTAAATCAAATTATCGAAAACCCCGTCTATAGTCACGCATACTATGTGAAAATATTGTGACATGTTGAGCCCTACCTCCCCAGCGGTACGTGGCGGTAACGTAACGCTCGCGTTCTTACGGTAATAGGCGAGTTCCCGCCCCGCCACTCCCCTCCGCGGTGACGTCACCGAGGGATTCGCGGTCGCTAGGCAACGCGAGTCAACAGCGGCGACGTTACGATAGTAACAGCGGTTACCTCCGCTAGCGTTACATAGCAACACAGCGCCAGGCAAAAAGGGTGCCTATTACGCGGCCGTTTTCCGTATGGTCCGATCGAGGCTACATGAGGCGCAGCGAAGGCTATTCACAGTCAGTTGTACTGAGTTGTACTGTGACAGCCGCCGAGTCGAGAGGTAGAGTCAGCCAGTCAGTTGTATTCTGGCATTTGGAGTGTACTAATTGTGATACTGCAGATAGCAGTAATCGTCAGATTGTAATTTGGGTGATTGTGAGAGCGGATGTGAAATAAAGTTCGCTATATAAAATACGACGTGAAGTTATTTGTCGCGATATACGCCCGACACGCGACAATATTGACGGCGTCGTTAAATAAACCACGATCCACTCTGAATCTGATAGAACGAAGCGAATTACGCAGTGGGAATGTTGGCTTTCAGGTTCTGACACTAGTGACTATGAAAAATTCTGTCATCTGGGATATAACACTGTGTAGTCCGGTGAAGGCCAGCCGACGTTGCGGATACATATACTGCCTCCATCTTCAGGGACGAAGAGTAAGCGAAGCAAATGAACCAGACTGAAGGTTGTAGCAGGTGGTGCTGTGCTTTAGAGTGGGAGAGGATTGGGCTGGATTCATGTGGTCCAGGGTGGGATATTGTGAACACGGCAATAAACCTTCGCCTTCCAGAAAATGTGGGGAATTTTTTAACTACCTGAGCGACTACTAGCTTCCCAAAAAGGACTCTGGTGCATGAAGCTAGCTACCTGCAGTTACTTTCTTTCTGTGGGTAATTTTACGGCTATATAGCATCAAATGCTAGGATGGCTGAAGACTGTTAAAATGGAAAGGTAAAAAAGTAAAGTTGTCCCTGTGCTCAATGAATTAAGCATGAATTAAGCCATGAAGGCGTATAGGGAAGTGGATGTATAGAACCACATTTTCTTGACCTCGGCATTAGTTGGAGGTCAGTGGTCAGCTTCACGTTCCGGCCGCTTTACCTCGGGAAAGAGCTCCCAGTAACCAGTGGATAGGAAGTTGGATGAGCCCCAGAGCCGGTCTGGACGCTGTAAAGAAGAGAAAATTCTTTACGCTACCGGGGCTCGAACTCCGACCCCTCCGTCGTCCAGCCCGTAACCAGTCGCTATACCGACTACGCTATCCCGGATCCTGTTAAAATGGAAAGGATCTGAAAAGAAACCGGCCGTTGCCTATCGAGGTACAGTGCGGTCGCACTTTATGCGGATCTGAAATCGTGTGATGTAAAATATACTAACAAAGCATCGCTTTACGGGAAAACAAATTTAAATAATGCGAATTCCCACCCCAAAATAATCGGCGAGATTGACGTCTCAAATATTGTCTTGAATTACGCGAGGTCTTCAGGAAAGTATCCTCGCATAAACTGCGACTGCACTGCACTGTCTCGACCCTTGCACGGAAAGACGGGGCAAATCACGAAAAATTAAATTCACGATGCTCAGCCCCCCCCCAAAAAAAAAATATGGCTCCAGAACGTACCCGCTGCACCAGCCCCTACCTGTCACCTGTCGAGATGCTGATGGAAAAGGGGTAGACTAAGAAGGCACATGACACTCCTATCACTGTAACAGGCCGTGGAGGCCCATAGGGTTGTGAGACGTCGAGGCTCCCACATTTTCTAGACAATCGGCTCACAGATGTCCGTCAGGTTGTTAGCCTAAAGAAACGGCCTTCCTTCGCCCCCAGGAAGATCCCTGGTACTCAATGGCCCTAGGGTCGACTCAGCCTCTAACAGAAAAGCGGCCGGCGCGTAAGGCTAACAATCTCACCGCCATTATTAACCAACTGTACAAAATATGGGAGCCTCGAAGTCTCACAACTCTATGGGCCTCCACGGCCTGTTACAGTGATAGCCTTACCTCTTTTTTTTTTCCACTGACATGATATTCCTGTTGAGAAAACCTCAAAGGATGATTTCACTCTGGAGAAAATCCTGAGACAGAGATTAAAGAAAAGTGTGTGATGGTGTGAAGTGTACTCAAATCGGCAGGCTTCTTGTGAGCTGTGCAATGAACTTCAGGGCCCCGTAAAACCAGGAAATTACTTGACCAACAGACTGACTTTCAAGGAAATTTCATCATGGCGTCGGATATCGTGGCCGAAGAGAGCCCATTAAGAAGTTACGAGTTCCGTAAAGAAGCGCGGCTCTTCATCATTACAACCGCCGTAAATGTCGGTCCGCACTGAGTGATGTCAGGTCGTGCCCCGGCCGGCACCGGTCGCACATAACTTCTCAGGTTTATTGCCAAGAGCTTCACTGAGGAACCGAGAAGTGCCTATCGACAGAGCAGTAATGTAGTGCGATGGCGCATGCGCTGCCGGGCTGGAGACTCCCTCAGCACGGCCCTTTCGACTGTGCTGAACAGAATATCAAACAAGACAAGGCCAATGGGGCAGAGGAAGAGGATGAAAGAGAAACAGAAAAGTAAGAAAATTTGAGGGAAGGGAACAAGAGGGAAACAAGAATATGGTAAGAAGGGACAGCAAGAAGGAGAAGGGGGAAAAGATAACAGGAATGCAAACTGAAGAGTAGTACAAAGACAAGCTGAAGAAGAAAATGAAGGAACAGAAGGAATCGCAGAGCACCAAGGAGAAGATAAAAGCGTAAAGAGAAAAATGACCCTGTCCCTAATTAATTAAACACTATGCCATGAAGACATGGGGGAGTGGAGGTATAGCTCCATCTTTCTTGAACTCGGCAATAGATGAAAATGAATGGTCAACTTCACGCCCCGCCCACTTTACACCGGGAAAATCGGCCCCGGTACCCATTGGTTGGGCCCCAGAGCCGATGTAGATGCCATGGAGAAGAGAAAAGTCTTTCCCCTGCCGAGAATCGAACCCTGGTCGTTGAGCCCGGAGCCCGTAGTTAGACTGAGTTAGCACTACGGAAAAGGATAATGAGATGAAAACAGCAAAATAAGCAGATAGAGACGAGGAAAGGGAGAAGCGGTGGAAGTGGAAGGATAAGTAAATATATGATAGAAAGGAGAGGAAGACAGGAAGACCCATGAAAACATGAAGAAGGATTTAATAAATACGGCATTGTTTTCCACGTCGTCTCCTTTTGTGCCTTGTTCACAGGAGCATCGTTCCCGTAAACAGTCACTGTTTCGTAGGGCCGCGCCATAGCTCAAGCGGTTAGTCGCTGGCTTCCCACCGCGACGGCCCGGGTTCGATCCCGGGTCTGTTCAAGTGGGATTTGTGGTGGACAAAGGGACGCTGAGATAGGTTTTCTCCGAGTACTTGAGCTTCCCCTGCCAATCTTCATTCCACCAATTGCTCCACAATCACCCTCACCTATCATCTGGGACTGGTACAGTAGGCCAGAAGTGGCCTCAGTACAAGGGACTTAGTCCCATCCCACTAGCAATAAAAAAAATATGTCTAAAAACAATAAAAATAGAGTTATTACAGTTCGGGTCTGCTGAGAAGTCTCAGGACTTATATAAACGTAAAAGGGGTATGTACCGCCCACTGTAACAGGGGTTTCCAAGCTTCGTTAGGCCTACAGGCAACTACACTCCGCTCGACATCCCAGTGTTGCCTCTGTGTTCTCCATACGACACTCTGCTCAATATCCCAATGCTGCATGTTCTCCACACGACACTCTGCTCAACATCCCAATGCTGCCTCTCTGTTCTTCACACGACACTCTGCTCAATATCCCAATGCTGCATGTTCTCCACATGACACTCTGCTCAACATCCCAATGCTGCCTCTCTGTTCTTCACACGACACTCTGCTCAACATCCCAATGCTGCCTCTCTATTCTTCACACGACAATCTGCTCAACATCCCAATGCTGCTTCTCTGTTCTCCACATGACACTCTGCTCAACATTCCAATGTTGCCTCTCTGTTCTTCACACGACACTCTGCTCAACATCCCAATGCTACTTCTCTGTTCTTCACACGACAGTCCGCTCAACATCCCAATTCTGCCTATTCTCCACGTGGAGCACGGTATACCAGACACGTGCACCAAACATTACGGTACAGGAGTGTGAAGTGCTGCTTCATAATAGGGAGGACCCAGGGCCGGATATTAATAAAGAGACAGAGGCCGCACTGTCTATTTTAATGCCTTTTCTCAGTCTGTTCAGAGAGATGCTAGAAAAGGTATGAAATTCCCCACGAAGATTCCTTTTATCCTTCTATTCGTCATAAAAATAATGCTGTCAGAAGCTTAATAATGATAAAAAGTCACTAAATAAACCAATAAACATCTCGGGGAATGGTTACTGCTTGGTTCTGTGCTCTTTTTTGTGACGCTCGTAACAGAACCCCAAATAATCAACGTCGGTTTCCATGGTGATGTGCTAACATCTTTACATCATGACCTCAATAGGCAGAC